GGGAAGGAAGGTGGATACCAAAATCCCAACTAGTCCCTAAAATATTGTTGAAATGTTTCATGTTGGCAACGTTTATGAAGCAATGGTGGTCACTAGGATTAAACATGGATCTATTATGATCAAATATATACTGACCTCATTTCCTTGTATGATCATATAAACAAATTTTAAAATACATCTGGAAGGATACCCTTATAAAACTGAATTGCCATCCACCTGGTAGAGTTCCATCAAGAAAAAGTCTGCAGCAGATAAATTCAGGGACCTTCCATCTTTAAGACTGTAAGACTGAAGGTACTCTACCATACTCCGATCATACTTGGTCTCATTGATAAAGCTCAAGGGGAAGAGTTCCTGGCAGAGCAGCCTGAGGATCATAGAGTCATGTTTTTGCTGAATGTAATTTTCCTGAGTTTCACAGGAAGATGAAAACAAAGCCAATGTAGATCCACCATGTGACTTTAAGTTTCAAGAGGACAGAAGTGATACCTGTTGGGCTTATTATTCACCTGGCACATAACAGGAGCTCGTAACTATAATTAAATGAATAAATGTCACAGATTGCCTTGGTTCATTTGATACCAAAATATATAAACTGGTTGGCTTATAAATAACAGAAATTTATTTCTCACAGTTCTGGAAACTAGGAAGTTCAAGGTCAAGGGACCAGCAAATTCAGTGTTTGGTGAGGGCCTGTTTCCTGGCTCATAGGTGGCACCTTCTTGTTGTGTTTTCATATGGTGGGGGGGGGCCTCTTTCATAAAGTCACTAATCCCCTTCTTTAGGGCTCTGCCCTCTTGACCTAATCACCTTCTAACACCATCACGTTGGGGGTTAGGATTTTAATATATAAGTTTGGCAGAAGGGGGTAGGGCACAAACATTCAGCCCATAGCACAAATTGTATTTTACTATACCTATTCATGAAAGCAAGATTGTGGCCTTTACTCTATAGATCCAGAAGACTAAATTATACTTATGCCTTGCATGCTAGTTTAAATTTGTAAAGTATTAGACAAGTTGAGAAAAAAATTCTTTGCTGTTTCTTTTGAGATTACTTACAAATAAGCAAAAACATATTATTCTCCAAAGATGCTACCCTGGTGCTCTCCTAGCAGTTGAACTATATTAAACACAGTTTTCCTTTCTTTGCCTGCTGCCACATCAGTGTGGAAAGAAGGGCTGATGGTTTTTCCTTCTTCAACACATGGGAGGAAGACTCAACAGACATTCGCTGCAAATCTAGTCTGTTTGCACCCTCTGAGGGTCATGTTTATGTGTCCCCACATTTTCAGGGCAGAGGAAGGTGATGGGAAGCTTAGCATGACAATCAATCTCAAAGTTGCAACTCCATGATAAGAGATGCTGTCAACGTGGTAATGACTTGTTTAAACATTTATTAAACCACTTCACAACAAATAGTAACACATGAAGTGTTATCGTCACATTTCACAGCAACATCACTTCTAAGGAGAAAAAATGCTAGCCAAACTGTTTTAAAATCTTCATCAAGATATTATTTAGTTAATATTTAGGGTTTTAATTTTTCCCATTTGTTCACAAAGAAAAAAGGTTTTTATAAATGAATTTTGCAAACAAATACAAGCATGGTTGTATTATTATTGCTAAAAAAATAAATATCTGAAATGGGGAAATTCAATATTAGAATATCTACAATACAATAATTTTCATCTTCTTCTATGTACTTTTCAGGTCTTCTCTTCCTCATTGACTTTTAGAGATCATGAATTATAACAAAGTTATTACCGACACCAAAATAACAATTTATAAAATTATATGAATTTAATGTTTAACAAGATATATTTTTTTCATTATTTTTTAAACTTGTTTTTCTTTTCTTTTTTTTTTTTTTTTTTGTCTTTCTTTCTTTTTTTTTTTTTTTAGATGGAGTCTGGCTCTGTTGCCCAGGCTAGAGTGCAGTGGCGCAATTTCGGCTCACGGCAACCTCCACCTCCCAGGTTCAAGCGATTATCCTGTCTCAGCCTTCTGAATAGCTGGGATTACAGGTGCCTGCCACCACAAGTAAACAAATGAAAATTTTATAAAATACTCTCTTATTAGTCATCCCTAAAATACTTCCATTCTCTTTCCATATATATTCTCTCAGAGAATGGGGTAGTCATCTATACATACATGTACATGTGTATATACTTATACTTTCATGTATAAGATTGCTGGCACTGGTCAAAGAAAGTTATTGATAATGTAACATTTTAATGTCTATTTATTACCTCATCATTTAGCTCTAGATTAGTTGAGATATATGTTAGGCTATTGAAGCAAGAAGCCATTAAAGTACAGCAGTTATAAAAGACATCAAGGTTTGGGTAGGTAGCTCAGGAATGAAGTGGCAGCTCAATGGAGCTAGAGATGCAAAATCCTTCTTTAATTTTACTTTACCACCCACCAGGACTTGCCTGCCTGCAGTTGAAGATGGCTCAGTACAACGACCACTGGGTTCTCATTCCAGGTGAGGATGTTGCACGGAGGTATAAAGTAGCATGCCCTTCCTTTCAAAACACTATTTAGAAGTTGTTCACTTTATCTCTCTTTGGCCTTTTTGATCACCAAACCACTTTAAACTGGAGGAGAAATTAGAAAATGTTGCCTTTGTTTGGGGCAGCTATAATTTGGAGGTTCTATTAATAAATTTAAAAAGGATATAGATATTGGAGACATCTACATGAGTCTGCCACACTCACTTTTTGAATATTTGATATTTTCCTATTTGAACAAATACAATCTTGTTGTAACCATGGAAGTGGAAATGCTTTGTCTTCCATGAGCCAAAATACCTGATCCCAAACTTGGTGGGGCAGCTGTCCCTGAGAGACAGTGAAAAGCCTTGTGTTTCATTGTTAAGACAGATTATTCTCAGGGTGACACATCCTGATTGCAGATGCAAAAAGGTCTGACTTAACAGACTCTGGGTCTATAGAAGCCTGGATGTCAGCTATGAGCACCATTCATGCTGTAAAAAAATGAGAGCAAGCTTCAAAAGGAGGCAAACTTTTATGCAGAAGTTACTTTCAGGAGGAGACAACTTCCTCCCCTTTCTCTGACAGAGCATAAGTCACTAAACTGAGAGTAAGAGAGAAGTAGATATGTGCTGAAATAACTCATCTGTTTCTTTGGACTCTGATTCTGTGGTAAGATCATGTACCTGGTTAGTGATAGATGGGACGGCATCTACACCAAACTGCCTCTGGCAACCTGCATCAACAGAAATACAATAAGAATGCCCAGAGGTCATTATATTGATAATTAAATAATCCAATAGCGGATGGGAAGGAAAAGAAATAAAAATCCAGTAAACCAGCAAAGATTTCATTCCCAAAAAAGGCTTATATTTCTCTGCCATATAAGCTCCCTGAGAATAGGAATTTTTGTGTGTTATGTTTATTGCTATTGCTGTCACACAGTAGAAACGAAATATTTATTGAAAGAATGAACAATCTAGTCTCATATAACCACTAACCACTGATGTATATCTGAAACACAAACTCTGCAAACTCTTTCTTTATGCTGGCTGTCCTTGGAGCAGCTCTCCTTGAAACCAGTAGCGGCAGTGTCCAGATGTTATTAAAACATTATTAAAAGACTGGTGGCCTCCAGCGGTCCCCCAGTAGCTAGAGTACAGAAGGTCTCCCTTCTCCATAGGAGCAGCATGGATCCATCTAATCACAGTTGTATGCCCCCCTGGAGCATTTTCCTTGTACTGTCTTACGATGTTTTATTTTCCATGCCACCTTCTTTCTCTCTTCCCACCTTTTCCATTTCTCTTTAGAAATCATAATCGGTCTATTCCTTCTTCCTTACTTACCACACCCATAAGATTTTAAAAATAGAAATTCCTCTTAAAATAATGAGTAACTCAACACTGTGAAATTCTCTAGACAATTCAGCAGTCTCCTGATCATATACTGTATCCTATCTACACAATTGTAAAATTCCCATTTCACCAGAGAAACTCATGATGAATTAGAAAAAACAAGTTGTAAAAGTACTGTGGGGTTAGCTCTATTCAGGAAAGAAAATGAAAGCAATGAGAGCAAAACAGAAAAAAAAAAAAAAGCACTGTGCATTGATACTGTTTTTATAATAATAAAAATCCAAAATTGTTGAGTACTTTGCAGTTTACACAATCCCATGGTACATATAATTAAACTGAGGTCCAGTATTTTTAAGTGGGCTCTTCAATATTATTTAACTGATGTATCTTGGAACATAGAACTAGACTCAAGTCCTCTGAGTCTAAATGTTATGTTCTTATCAATACATTGTGTTACTTCTAAAAAGATTAATATACATTCAAAAATCGTTAAAAAGCCTTATATCCTCTGGCAGGCCAGTACACTTACTGAATATAACAATTGTTTAAAATCATGGTATTGTAGCTTAGTAATTTATCTTCATCAGTTGAAAGGTATGTAAGACGTAATTTAATAATAATAAGATGCCATTCTTCAGGCATGAAAAATGGCTACTTTTTCTATAACTTAGAGCAGATATCCTTGTCACCCACAGTCATTCACTTGTATTACAATATGCCCTTTTAAAGGAACACAAAATTAGTGTAGTGATAGCTATCACTATCAGGCCAGCATTTGTACAGAACCTTGGTTCCACCAATGAAAGTGCACCTCAAAGGGAAATAGCATTTTTGTGTATGTCATTTATGAGAACCTCTGGGTCAAAAAAAGAAATCTAAGGTTACAAATGTTATTTGTTTATTTATTATTTATTTATTTATTTTACTGGCTACAGACTACACCAGCCACAGTACAAAGTTGTGCCTTTGGGTCATACATGAGACCAGTGAACATCTGGGGTTAGAAGAGACCTGGAGCTATTATTGGAAAAGAGAACACATGTAATCATCTCTGTATATAAATGCCAACATCTTGCTTTTGGTCACATTTATTATTATGACTAAAGGAGTAGGAAAAACTAGAAAAAATTTAAAAGAACAGGACTCACCCTCCATTAGCTGGTACAAATGCCATTTCTCTGTAATCTTCTATGTATCAGGCAATTCTAATTGATTGCTCCTTTCTCCCATGTTCTGTACATACATTCAGTACTATAATAGTTATTGCTCTTGTAATGATTCATTGCATTTTTGTCTTCTCCCAAACCTAAAAACTCCTTAAGGAGAAGAAAAATGTTTTATTCATTTTATGCATCTATAATAGGTACTCATAAAATGTCTATTTAACATAAACGAATGATTAGGATTGGAAAGTAGAACTTATGTTTTCTTTTAAAAAAGCACTGGGAAGTTTTCAAGATGTGGAGTGGTCAAAATAAGAGTATTTTTTAATGAATGACTACTAAGACAGATATAGACAGTGATCAAACTCTTGTCTTCACCAGAAAAAAATAACAATTTTATCAAAGTGATATTTATGTTACTCTTTGTGACAGGTTAAAGGTTTTCAAAGGGACCCAGAGTTGAATGGCAAGTTGTAGGTTGGAGGCAGCCTTTCACGTCTACATGTACTCTGATATGAGCTGCCTGCCTTCTCTCCTCTAGTAAGTGATGGAAGTGGGACTCTTGTGAGGGATGGAGTTCTCAGGAGATGGAATGTACTGGTAGTAAATGATGCTGGGAGATGGTAAGGGGTATAGAGCCAAAGAAACTCAAAGGCCAAGTCATTAACCAAGTGATTTAGGACGTAAAGGACAACTTTATAGTTAAACCCAAGAGAGTAGTGATGAGATACAAAAAGAAAGATCACGAATGACACCCTGCGAGGCATCTTGGGACTCTGGGAAGAATGAAACTCTCTAAAGTATCATGCAAATTTAAGTATAAATTTGTGAAAATGTTTATATAAAAAATTTAGGACAAAAATAATGAAAATGGGAATAACACTAGTCAAGTGAAAATACAGCAGTTTTGAAAGCCTCTCTCTTAATGGTCTACATGAGTTTATGTGATAATGTTTGTTATACAAGCTTTTACTCACCTAATAATGGATTTTTATAAACATTCAGTTTATATTTTCATGTCAATCTTCTAGATCATTTAATTGATATTCAAAATATGACCCAAATGTCATGGACCTTTTTTTCAACTCTGGTGCGTAAACAAAAGTCACTTCATCATGTCACATGTTATAAGATCCAGTTTTCTAAAGAATTAAATCACAGCATTTAGTCTGACTTCTCTCATTATAGGATTATAGTCTAGGTCATATTTGTATATGTTCTTCTCCCTTCAGTGCACTGCTGCCTTTACTCAATTGTAAGCTTCCTACAGGTAGTATTTATAAACAGTCTCTGGTAGCCTCTCATCTGTATGGTCTTCATGGCACTTGGCTGTGAAGGCTCAAACAGTGCTCTTTGAACTCTGTTTAATCACTATTTCTATATTTTCTCTAGCCATGCTGAAAGTTTTGCCACGGAAATAAATTCATTACTTTTATTTTTAAATTAGGTTTTCTGATACAAGAGATTTTTCCAGGGTCCTTCATTCATTCATTTATTGAACAGATGTTTGTTAAGTACCTTTCTGTCTTAGACATAGGTCTACATGCTGGAGAAACAGCAATGAACCTCAAAACAATTCTTGTTTACATGAATTTTATATCTACTAGTGGCAAAAGGTTTTAAAAAGTTATAAGTATTTAGCATGTTGACAAGTACTACAAATTTTAAAACTATGGTGGCAAGTCTATTATATAGAGTGTAGTCAAGGAAGGTCTCACTGATAAAATGACATTTCCCAGAAAATAACAGTTATATGGGAATAAGCCATGTGGTTGTTTAATATAATAAATAAATAAAAGATATAGGTCAAAGCAAAAGCCTGGGCAAAGGCTATGAGGCAAAAGCATTCTTGATGTGCTCAAGAAACAACAAGGAGACCAGTGTGGAGCAGAGTGAATAAGGGATGAGATAATAGAACATAAAGACAGAGAATTATTTTGCACTTACCAGTTATTATGGGGCTTCATAGGTGCTATGATTTGAATGTATGTGCCCCCGCAAAATTCATATGTTGGAACTTAAACCTCAATGTGACTGTATTAAGAGGTGAGGACTTCGGAGGCGATTAAGTCATGAGGGTGGAGCCTTCATGAATGGGATTAGTAACCTTATAAAAGTACTGAAGGGAACTAGCTAGGTCCTTTTGCCCCATCTGCTTTTTGGCCTTGTGAGGATACAGCAACAAGGCGCCATATTAAAAGCAGGGCACTTTGAGAGGCCGAGGCGGGCGGATTACCTGAGGTTGGGTGTTCGAGTCCAGGTCAAGAGTTTGACACCTGGCCAATATGGTGAAACTCCATCTCTATTAAAAATACAAAAATTAATCAGGCATGGTGGCACATACCTGTAATCCCAGCTACTCGGTAGGCTGAAGCAGGAGAATTGCTTGAGCCCTGGAGGTGGAGGCTGCAGTGAGCCGAGATTGTGCCACTGCACCCTAGCCTGGCCAAAAGAGCGAGACTCTGTCTCAAAAAAAAAAAAGCAAGGAAGACCCCTCACTAGAACACCAAATCTGCTTGCAGCTTGATCTTGGATTTCCCAGCCTCCAAAACTGTAAAAAATAGATTTACCTTATTTACAAACTACTCAGTCTTAAGGCATGATATTACAGTTCAGAAACAACCTTAGATAATAGGACTTCGGGTTTTACTTGGAATCTCATGGAAAACCACTGGAGGATTTTACATAGACAATTTACATGGCTGTGATGTTGAAAATAATTTGTAGAGAAACAAAAGGCAAAGACAGGGAGAAGAGGTGGGAGGCCATAATAACAATTCAAGCAGGAGATTATAATGACTTTGGTAAGAGTGGTAGTAGTGAAAGAAAAGGTGGCAGAATTCTAGATTTTTATTATATGATTAAAGTAGAGACAAGAGGATCTCCATATAAATTGGTTTCCATGTGTGTAAGGAAGAAAGACGACAGCAAACACTTCGGCTGGAACAGTAAGAAGAATGGAGTCTACAAGCCTTGAGACTGAATCATACAGGTAAAAGAGAAAGTGTAGGTAAAGAGGTATAATGCAAGAGATTTCAAAGACTGTGATATTTAAAAGTGGTCAGAGAAGTAGAAATAGAGCTAAGAGAAAGTGATGTTTTTGCAGTCATGTGAAGGAATTATTTTAAAAAGAAGGCATAATTGTGTCAAACCAGATGAGGACCAAAGATCCATGGACATAGCAAAATGGAAAACATTGGTACACTTAAATAACAGCTACTCTTGGTGGAGCGATTGAGCTAAAATTCTATTGCTATGGGAACAGGAGAAAATCGGAGGAGAAGACCTAGATACAGTGTATATTGATAGCTCTTTTGAAGGCTTATGTTGTAAAGAAAGAGAGAAGAGAAATAGAGAAGAAACTGGAGAGGGGCATGCAATTAAAAAAAGGGAGTTTTTTTTGTTGTTGTTGTTTTGTTTTGTTTTTTTTATTAAGTAGGAAAATCACCTAGATGAGGTTCTAGTGAACATTGGAGGGGTTGCATAGGAGCGCAGTTAGCTGATTTACATTAAGGAGAGGGAAGATGAAGTATATGGGTAGGTCTCCATGCAGATGGGATGGTAGATGTGGTGGTGGGACACTGGGAACAATATTTTCAGATTGTTTCTATAATTTCAGTGAAATACAAATCAAGATTATCAAAGAGATTAAGTATGAGGGAGAGTTTGATGATTGAGAAGAGGGTAGAAGTATTGGGAAAAATGAAACAGACTAAGGAAATGTAGGTCTGCCTGACAGCACTGTAAGTCTAGTGGAAATGGTCATGAATTTAAAAGCGCAATGAGTCAGTATACATTCGCCCTCAGTTTAGCTGCTGAGATGTAGGCACAAAACAGGCAGAGTTTAAATACTGCTTCACCACTTATAAGCTGTGTGTTCCTGGAAGACTTACTTAACTTCCCCAAGCTCCTATTTTCTTATTTATTTTTACAGGTGTGTTGTAAGACTCAAATGAGATAATATATGTATACTGAGTGATTAGGAGCTCGAACACTGGAATTAGTCTGATTGGGTTTAAATCCTGATTCCTAAAAGTGAGAGAGACAAGGGAAATGCGGGCATATGCAAAGTAGTGTTTATAATTACAAACCATGGAATCTAAGCTGTTTAAGGAGGAAAACAAGAATAAAAAATCAGATAAGGGAGGACAGTGAACACATGATTGAATCAGTTGAGTTTGTTTTGGAGTCAGCTTACTAGCTAGAAAAATAGAAGGTAGTCACAAAGTAGAACACTTAAAGTTGAGATTATGGAAGGAGTGTAGTAATTGATAGAACCTTGAAAACAAATGTCTCACATAAGGTGGAGGAATAGATTAACAAAGAAGAGGTCAAGAAGCTCAATGTCAACAAGTGTCATCCATGTGGTTATTGAGATCCCTAAGAAGTATGATGGGAAGTGGTGGTGGTAAGAATGACAATAAGGCAAAGTTTAAAAAATACTAAAGGAATGAGTGTATTCTGTAAGTGATTGCAGCAAGGAAGGAAGTATGGATAATCTCATGGCAGGATTTTCAAAGACAGGGAAATGTTAAGGAGAAATATGGGAAAAAGAAATGAGGAAGACACCACCTTACCTTGAAGCCTAGCAATACAAAAGATGTAGGAGAAAAAAAGTCCCTGCTTCGTAGAGATCAGAGCAAATTTGAACTGTCTAGTTTCCTAACACTCAAACTTCATATTCCTAGATCATAAGCCAATCAATCCTGCCACACTTTATAGGAATGCACTCTCCAACATCATTCCTCCACTATATTATAGCATTATGCTGCATCCTTAGAGGAGTCTGTTGCAAATAAAAGGTCAACACATGTAATAATGGAGTCAAAAGAGTGTGAAAATACTGAAATAGGGCATCCTCAGAAAACTATTCAGAGTAATCAACTAAGTACGTATCTAAAGTGAGTATTAATAGTAGGATAAATATAAAACACTATTTTCTTTTAAATAGTTACATTTTTTGGTCCTTTCCAAATTTTTTTACATTGATATAGAAATCATTGAAGGAAAAACTTATAGATACTATTTTCTCTGTATTACAGTGTATGTGTGAAAATACATATATACTTTTCCTATAATATATACTTCATATATACATACACACATCACTATAATTAGTAATTAGAAACTATTATAGGAAAATATATTTCTAT